CTTAACTCTTTGCACTCTGCAAAGTTTAGATGTCAACGTGAAACTCAGAGAGTGTGAGCTGATGTCTCATGCTTAGTTTTGCCTCTTCTTTTTTTGGTGAAATCAGAACAGTCCTACTGTGTGAGGGAATTTTCCAAATGCAATGTTACCACCAATTCAGAATCTCTGAGAAAGGCAGACGTGTCTCCCCATTAGGGATGCAGCTCAGAGGTATAAAGGTACTCACTCAAGGCCACACTCCTAACGTGTAGCTAAGCATGATTCAACCCATGTCATTTCAGGCACATTCCACCCTGCCACACTGTTTTAGTGACAGCACGGCCTCCTGTTACAGTTCACCGGACAATTTTGCCTGCTGCTATTCACCCAGCTATGTCCAATAAAATGCTGGAAAATACCTTGAACTCTTCTGCTTGAAGAAATCCCAGTCAAGGAAGGTTTGGGAACCCAGAGTTCAAGTAGAGAGAAACCAAAAGAAGGCAAAAGTGACAGCACCTAGCTCTGAGGACAGCTGTCCATACTTCCCCATACCACCAGCATCCCTACATCCTTTTAGAGCTGAATGGAGCAGGAAGGGGATATCACCTCAGCTCCAGGGGACAGGAAAGAAGTTGACCTCTGGGAGGGTGGCAGTAGGGAGGGGTTACAGCAGGGGGAAAAATGGGAGGGGGCACACAGGCTCAGAAAAACAAAAGCCAGGAAACTTTCCAGCCATGCTGGGCTAGTCTTGTGACCATGGCATACTGGCAAGGGACTCTGAATCTATGGGACTCTGGAATTTTATAATGCTTCAGGATGAGTCTCCAAGTTGGTCTTGAAGAAGCCCTTAGTGGTCAGCAACTGTTCCTGAAGGAAGCTTGGGGTTTGGAGAACCACAGAACAGAAGGCTAAATGAACTGTGTATTAGGACAACAGCCAAGGAAGACTGAAGAAGGCTATTCCAAGAAGCCTTCTCCTTGTGGGCTCCTGTGATCAACAATTGTTTCCCCTATAAATGTTACCAATGCCCTCAAAAGAAAATGTGTCTCCCACACAAATGCCATTACACTTCTCTTCAATTAAGCCACTGCCCCAATTCATCCTATTTAGAAATTTCTGGAGCTACTATTAGCCTCTGGATCAATGCCACTTTGCTTCTCTAGAATTTCACTCAGCAGAGGACACTGTGAGTTTATTACAGCATTGATAGGACAATTTCCCTATCCCATAGTAATGGGGACCACTCAGAGCCTCCAAACAAGACCTGTGTCAGTGTTACAGCTGGAGAACAAAAGACAGCAAGGAGAAATGCTACACAATACAACAAGCCTTCGGAAAGACTTTGTGGAAATTAATGGTCTTCTGTGTTAAGAATGAACATTATAGGCCACGTAGATGCCAAAGACAGCTCTCAACAGGAAAAAGAAGGTCTCCAGTGAGAGGTAGTGTTGAGAATGCCACCAAAGTGTCAGGGAACCTGCTTTGGAGAGGGCTTGCTACTCTTGCAGAGGACCTGATCTTGGTAGCCGTAACCTCCATCAGTTGTCAGTTGTCTGAACTGCAGCTCCAGGGGATCTGATATCTTGTGGACTCCATGTGAACATACACTTTACATGCACACATAAGCACATAATTTTAAATAAAAACATTTTAATTAAAAAACAGACTTTTAACTTACTTATTATTAGCATGTGGGCAGATACATGTGCAGAGGTCAGAGGATAGCTCTGTAAAATCAGTTCTTTTCCTTCCATCTTTATAAGGGTTCTGGGGATTGAACTCAGTCACCAGGTTTGTGTGGCAAGCGCCTTTTCTCACTGAGCCATTTCGCTGGCCCAAGAGTGGACACATCCATAAGGCCAGATGAGGAGCATGTGAGTTTCTTGGGCACATGGAGGTTCTTGTCTTACAAAGGGCCACAAAAATGTTCAGAGACCCACACTATCTTCCTGCCACTCATGACTGAGTCTTGCCTGATGACTCTGGCTGGCTGCTACCTGCTAATTCCTGTCTTTGCACCTGTGACCTTTGCTCCCCACATCTGTGTTTCTCACTTCACCGACTTGTAGCTATTTCTGCTCTTTCAGTAGAGAAGGAGTGAGATGTTTTCCTCTTCTCAAGGTTACAGCTGACTGGAAGGAAATGTGCTTCCCCCAGGCCCTTTTGCTGTTTAACTCTAGGAATCAGCATAACACAGGCCACTCTAACTAGAGATAGAGGAGGCGGACCTCCTCTATCTCATCCATCAGTCATTCATAATACTGACTGAGTACTTACTGTGTGTCTGGTGCCAGAGATACATTAGTGATCAAAACATAGTGGTCATAATCCCAATGGTCCCGACACTTCAGGACACCCCAAAATAAGATCTCCTGTACTTAAGACTTAAAAAGATGTTTGTACTACCCAAAGCCAAAAAGAACTCATATCCAAAATATATGAACTCCTGAAAAGCAGTAAGACAAAAGCCCAGGGGAAGTTGACATAATATTTAACAACTATTCAAATGGCAAAGAAATGTGTGGGAAAAGTGCTTATCCTCATTGGCTATCAGGGCAATACAAATTTAAGCCACAGTGAAATACTATACTTCACATTCACCAGAATGGCTACAATTTTTTGTTGCATTTTATTTGTTTTTGGACAAAGTTTCATCACAGCAGCCTTGGCAGGCCTGGAACTCACTATGTAGACAAGACTGGCCTTGAACTCATAGAGATCAGCCTATGTCTTCCTTTTGGTGCTAGGATTAAATGGCCACAACTTTAATCTTTTCAGATTGATAGCACCAGTACTAATAAGCTTATGAAGCAATAAGGCATTGCTAGCAAAAATATAAATTAATAAAAGACATTAGAAAGTTAAAGCATTTACTAAAGCTAAACACTCGCCTGCCCTATGACCCCATCCTGTTCCAATGTACAAGTTCAGGCTGGGTGTGGTGGCACATGCACTTTTAATCCCAGCACGTAAGAGGCAGAGGCACAGGCAGGCAAATCTCTGGGAGTTTGAGGCAGCCTGGCCTACAGGGTGAATTCTAGGTCAGCCAGGGCCACCCAGAGAGACCTTGTTTCAAAAACAAACAAAAAAGAATGTAAGTGTACCAAATGGCATAAAGATGCCATAGCAGACTGATATAATAATCACACCTGGAAACAACTTAAACCCGTCAGCAGATACAAATGGCGTGTGCTTCCTTAGAGGCATTACACTGTAATAAAGGTGAATTAACTGATGCTGTCATGTGTATACAGGGGTGAGAGAAACTGGGTACAGAAACCACTAGTACCTCCTGAGTGGTTCCACTACATAAGTCCATACATAAGTCCAAAAGCTGGCGGACAAACTAACAGGGCCAGATAGAGGCTACCTTAGGGAGGAGAGGTGAGGTAGTGACCAAGGGGGCTTCTAGGGTGGCAGTGATAAATGAATTCTTCCTCTCGGTGGTGGCTACATGGGCCTGTTCACTGTGCCATAACTGGTCGGTCTATACTCTAGGTTTTTATGCGTTTTCCCAAGTGTTTGTTTTATGTCAATTCAAAGGAGAAACTTGTCAAGTAGATAAAAAGTGGGAGGGAATAAGAGAGAGACAAAGATTTTGTTTGTAAGTTTGTTTTTGGATGAAAGGTTTTGGTCTCTTTGATACAGAGTCTCAACTACATAGCCCTGACTATCCTGGCACTCTCTCAGTAGACTACAATGGCCTCATTTTTTGTAGAGATTCTCCTGTCTCTACCTCCGAAAGGCTAAGATTACCAACACTGGTCACCACGCTGGGCAGGTATATCAGTCAGTCTTAATTTCTCTCCCATTCTATACTCACTCTTCACAAAGCTGATCCTTCTGGAGGAGACCTAGTGTTGCCCAGTTTAGGAGTAACTTCCATATCCAAACAGACTCAGCTTTGAAGCCAAAATTGGGGTTCTACTACAGTGACATTTGCTTTACTTGGTCCTTAAAAACGTAGGCCTCTGATGTCCTAGCAGCTGAACTGAACCCAGGGATGCTGGATTGGCGGGTGGGGACAGGCTTTTGTTGATACATTTGTCGTCATTGTCCAAAGGAATGGCCCGCTCAGGTTGCTGTTTGGCATGTGTGCCAAAAGCTTGGTGACATCTCTGCTCCGATCCTCATTCAAAGGTCTGGAGGTATGCTCAATTGCCCCCAAGCGCCTTTCTAGAGAGGAAAGGGGCAGGAAGGAACCACTGGTCACATGTTCCACCACAAGAGGGGAAAGAAAGCCTGGGAGTGGGAGTTCCTTCATGGGGAGGTCACATCCCCTGAACAAAAACATCCCAAAGAGAACTGGTACTGAGTTTGGGTTGAAGAGGTGGAGACACCCCAGGGAGGAAGTGGCAAAAAAGGCGAGGGTGAAAACACTCTCCTCTTTGATCCCACAAGGTGCGTCAGGGAAAATTGGACTTCATTTCGCCCGGGATGGAGACATCTCTCCCCATGGGGCCACGAGTTGGTCAAAGCAAGCCCGCTCCCCTCCACCCTTACCTTAGGTGGTTTATATGGCCCCAGCCGTTTAACAAATTTTCCCTCTAGCCTGCCCATCCCCACCCCTTTGAAGGCTGGAACTTTATTAAAGCAGATTCATTAGGGTCCGACCAGTTGCCCAGAGAGAAACGCGGAACCTGGAGGGAGAGATGACGAGCCCGAGAACAAGGAACTGCGCCCAAGGAGAAGGTAGGGACTGGGCGCGAGGAAGGAACACGCGATGACTGCCGGGGCCCGCGCGATCGCCAGCTGGCCGGCCCACTGGGGTGGTTTCGGGTCTTCCGGAAGGCGAGAGGCTCACAAGAGATAGTCAAGACACAGGGGTACATGTGTACAGACGCGCTTGCCCTGCGCACACCACTAGCCCCAGCGCTCCAGTTCCCGTCACTCTGCTGCGTTCTTTCCCCCACCCCCGCTCACGAAGCGCGGGAAATGGGCGGGGCCTGGGCGGGGCCCGCCCCTCTTCCTGTCCTGATTGGCTGATGCAGTTGTCCATCCTGAATCTATTTTTTTGATGGAGGGGGGTGCCACCCGCTCTGCCCCAGATCACGTTTGCCACCCACAGCCAACCACTCTTGTCCAAGTCCGCGGGCAAGAGGCGATTGGGGGCAAGCGAGCTCGGCACCCCAGGCTCCGTCCTGTCCCCGCCGGCCCGAGGCGGAATATCCTGCCCTCCAGGCCACCTCCCCACGGTGGAATCCGAGCGGCGGCCTCGCAGGAAGGCAGAAGCGAAATGTAGCGAGCCGGGTGTCGCGGTTGGACGCTCGCCTTGGCTGGGAGTGTAGCGGGGCACACGCTGGGGCTCGAGGAGGACGGCTGAGGGGGAGGAGTGATGAGAAGAGGGGGTACCCTGCATCCCCCGATACCGCGGGCCCCTGCTGCCACTCTCCCGGCGCCCTTCATCCCCAGCGAGGCGCAGGTCAGTGTTGTTGGGTCTGGGGGTAGAAGTGGGAGGAGGGGCTCTAGCACGCAGCGCTTTTGCAGAGTCTGAGTTACAGGGAGACGGCGGAAGTCATCCAGTTACTGCTCCACCCCACCTCTGTAGTTGGGGATACCCAAACAGGTCTTTTTTGTCCATCCCCGCCTGGGAAGGAAATGGGGCGTCCTAGGGCCTGAGGCCCATCGGTAGTGGCCTTACTGGTGATGTAGTTGAGGTACTGGCCTGTCCCCTTGCTAGCCCCCTTCCCGGTCAAAGTGGCCTGCCAGCGAGATGGGAGGGGTGGTGGTGTCAGGTTTTAGCGAACGAACTCAGAAACTTTTCTGGCATGGACGCGGTGGACTCACAGTGTTTCCTCCCGGCTGAGGATCTTTGAAAACAACGGTGCTGTGTTAAGGTGGCTTGGCTGGCGACCGAGTAAATGGAAAACTTATAACTTGGGCCCTAGAGTTTGATTCAGCCTTAACCAAACTGGAGTTGACTAATCGTGAGTGTTTGGAATACTAACAGCCTGTTCATCATACCTGCAAAACCCCCTGGAAATGTTTTACTATTGAGAGCCATGCTGGTGAAATGCAACAAGTTGGAATCAAGGCCAGGGGATTCCTTTAAAAAACACGAAAAGTGGAGCAGGGAAAGGCAGAGACATGATTTGGGAGTGAATGCATATTAGCTTGTGACACTTGGATTTGCCTTCCTTTGTTTTTCTTAACTCCTTCTCCACTTTTTACTGATACTTTTGTTTGTTTTTAAGAATTGCATTATGTCCAGCTGTTGGTAACCTTAGGGAATAGGGGGAGCCTAGGTAATCAAAATATGTAGGTAATAACTGGTAGTTTTACCCTCTGTCTCTTCAACCTAGTTAACTGCCATGTCCTATCTGACAAGCTCACTCAGCCAAGCATAGAGGGAGAGAAGTGTAGACAGAGCCTGGACCAGGGTCAGCCTCTGAGGTTTCTGTAACACTGTTGACTCTCAAGGGCAGGAGTAGGTAGTAGGCCTCTGGCTCTTGGCCTTGCGTTAGTTGGCTTTCCCTGCCCCAGTGACTACTGAGCCCTGGCATCTTCCCTCTTTGGGGGGCTAGGGCAATTAGAGGTCTGGGGATGCTTCTCTCAGTGATCAGTCTCCTTGTTTGCTTGCCCTGTCTTGCTGTTGCTGTCTTGTGATAAGTCATTCACAGAGGAGTGACTGCGTAGGGAATTTGTGTCTGAATTTGTGACTTACCACTAAGGAACTACACTTATTACTGAGAAGACAACTCCTGAGAACACCCTTCCCCACCTCAGGCTGCTCAGCTCCCATGGGGTCGTGGTTTGCTGTCCGGGAGGATGATGGAACGAGAACCTACTGGGCCTCCACATGAAATGGGACAGGACTGTTTAATTTTAGTGGAAAAAGAAGAGCAAATAACCGCCTCTGTAAAAACCTACTGTGTGTTCTGGAGATCTTCCTGGTAGGAACTGCTTTTGCTATCTACTAACATTCTCTCTTCTCTCTTTCCCTTCCTTCCACTTAAGGTATTCCACACAGATTCTTGTGACTTTAAGGACCAGGCAACTGAGAAAGTACAAGATCTTCTCAAGAAGGGAGGAGACCTCTGGGAGAGAGGGAAAAGACAGCAGGCACTGTCCTGGGACCAGCTGAGCCCAAGGTGCTGTGGGAAGCTGAGAGCACCCAGCAGGAGTGGGAAGAAGCCCCAGCCTCAGACTGAAGTTGTGTTCTGAACAATCTGAATTCATTCAGCTTTTCACAAGAGGGCTGGCTGCAGCATCAGGCACTCCAGACTCAGGTTGAGCTCATCTCTTCTGCATGCCCCTGCTCTGAGGAGCTGGCCACTGAGAACCAAAGAAATCCACCCCCCACCCCAAGCATAGTGCAGAGCTGGGGGCAGGCACCAGCACTCACCCCTAGTGGCAGCTGCTGCATCTGGTGTGAGGCGTTTGTTTCCTTCCAGCTCCAGGCTGCATTGCTTGATGGGGCTGCCTTTTGGTAGATCAGTTTTTATAGTGCCAGGTAGGAGTGGAGAGCCGTGGGAAGAGGTCCCGCGGCACTCAAGCTTGGGTTCGGCCCAAGACTAAGTTCTTTCCCGAGTTAGAGTCAGAGGAAGAAAGAAAAATAAATAAATTCTCCCCTCCTCTCCTCCCTGCCTGTCATGTCCTCTAAGCCAGAGCCAAAGGACATCCACCAGCCGAACGGTACTGGCCCTACTCCTTCTCCCTGCTCTTCGGATGGCCCTGGGCGAGAGCCCTTGGCTGGGACCTCAGAGTTCCTGGGGCCTGATGGGGCTGGGGTGGAGGTGGTGGTGATTGAGTCTCGGGCTAACGCCAAGGGAGTTCGGGAGGAGGACGCACTGCTGGAGAATGGGAGCCAGAGCAATGAAAGTGACGACGTCAGCACAGACCGCGGCCCTGCGCCACCCTCCCCACTCAAGGAGACCTCCTTTTCCATTGGACTGCAAGTGCTGTTCCCCTTCCTCCTGGCAGGCTTTGGGACCGTGGCAGCTGGCATGGTGCTGGACATTGTGCAGGTAAGACCTGAGTAGGGTAGTTTCTACTCGCAAGCCCTCAATACCTTGGCCTTCTGGGAAAGTGACTCCTGGAACTTCCTCTCCATCTCTGTGTCAGAAGCAGCTGCTGCTTCCTAGAATACGATTTCCCTTTGGATCACATCATTGGTTTCATCGTTGTCTCTGTTACTTTCTACAGAAGGCTCTGAGAAGCCAAGTAGCCCCAGGGAGGTGGTCAGAGCAACGTTGCCCAACAGTGACAGATGTAACTCCAGAACTCAGGCAGAAAGGAGATGAGAGGGGCAGAGCTATTGCTTGCCAGGATGCCTCAGTGCTCTTGAGCCTGGCTCCGTAGGAGGTATCTAGATGGGTCTCCGCTTTATGCCTGCTTTCCTTTTACTGGAGGTTTCAAGGATACCCAAGATAGAAAGCGCCTTTTCAAGCCTTCTCTTCCATTCCCCTGCTGGGCAAGAATTTACTCAGCTGTCAGTAGGGTCTCAGATCCAGTGAGAAAGCTCTTAAGGCATTTTGTATTGCTTATCTTCATGCATCCTTGGCACAGTCTCCTTAGTGAGTGAGGATGGTTTGGGAAGGTGGTGTAAGCTCTGGAAAGGCTGTAAGTGCTGGGGATGAGAACAAAATGTAACCAGACCTTGGCAGGACCGTCTGTCTTTGCTCCTTGTCTGTCATGCACCTGTTTTGGGCCAACAGGGAAATTCATGGGGATATTGAGTAGAAAGAACAGTAAGAGTTGGTAGGACCTGCGAGCTAAGAGCCAGGGCAGGGGCATGCTCTATTTAGTGCATTGTGAGTCAGGACTCACCAAGAGTCTCCAGGTTGGAGAGAGGAAGTCTTGCTTCTAAGTAAAAGTTTTTGAAGCTCAGTGAGGTGCACTGTGCTTTCTACCAGTGCTAGGTTCGTCTGAGTTAAGCACAATATATCTTGTGCCTGCTCAATGCTGGCTCTATCCTAGGCACTACAAAGCACAGAGGCAGAGGTGCTTTGGCCCATGTCCTTGGGGACCACTCCTCCCCCGACCCAGGCTTCCCTCACTATGATGTTTCCCAAAACAGTATGAAGCTCAGTATCACCTCCGCTTGCACCCCGCTAATGCTGCAAGCCATGCACACAGAGACTGCTATAGGGGTCTCCAGGCCCATCTCAAGGCCTGAAGGTGGTTGGTGCTGTCTAAAATGTTCATGCAGACCCTGAGTCTTACAGGACAACTTTCCAACTTTGGAAATAATGAGAATGATATTTATAGCTTGCAAAAGTGCCTGGTGCTGCCTCCTCTCTCCTTAAACCTGTTATTGTGAAGGCTATTCCTACATGGAGGTTAGGAAGTCAATCCAGAGCTTGGGACTCCTCCCCTGCTGGTCATCTTTCTTCCTAGGACTGAGATCAGGAGGAGGAGGAAGGGGGGAAGATGTGAGACTGGTTTTGTAGTCTGCCTCACCTCTCCTTCCTGAAGCCTTGGGTCTCATTCTTACCACTTCTTGAGTTCTAGGTTAGTGCCTATAAAGAGCTGCAGGACTATAGTTCAGTGTACAGAGCTTGCCTAGCATGCACAAAGCCCCAGGTTCCAACCCCAGCGCCCCAAGACCTTTAAAACAAGGAGGCTACAGAACCAGCATCCTGGGGTGAACTAGGAGACACTTAGCTTAGTTTCTAGATAATGGTGGTGATGATGGGTTGGGGGGGAGGCATCAGAGGGCATCCTGTAAGCTTAAAAAGTAAGAAAAAGGCATTGATCTCCATTTTTGTAGATGGGAAACTACACTATAGATAAGCCACTGGTCGCTTCTCCCAGAGCCCCATGTCAGTAACCTTAGGTGCTTGTGTGTGTGTGTGTTATGGTTGGGATTTGCAACCTGGCTTAAGACTGTGAGGAGCCTGCTGTTTTTGTCTTGTCTTGGAGAACAGGACAGACTGGGAACCAGAACAATTGGCATTGGCTTTTAAAGTGAGCCAGAGCCAAAGAGAGGGGAGGATCAGCCCCAGGTCCTCCCACAGGACAGTCCTCTGGTGTCTTACCTTATGCCCATGGATCTGAGACATTGAGAGATTTAGAGAGTAGGGACCTGGAACTGCCCAGCATGCCCACTGAAGGCTGGCATCTCTCTCTCGGTGTGGCGTCTTGGCTCATGCCAGAGCTAGGGTTCAGTTGGTATAGATGACAATGACTGGTTTGTCCTTGTGCCCCTCCCCCCATGCTCCCACCACAGCTGGGCTAAAGCAGGGCCCACAGATGCCTACAGCAAGATGACTGAAGTGGGTGAGTACAGGAGGACAGGGGCAGGGGACCACAGAAAGATTTTTCACTCTACGTCCAGGGAAATGATGGGGATGATAGATGCTCTTGGATACAGGATAAAATAACCTGCAAGCACCTAAGATGGGGCCACCTGGTGGTTGTTCAAGGTTCAGAGCAGCAGGAGCCTACGTGAACCTTGTTACAGATATATCCTTGGCCCAAGGTTCCCACTACAGCTAAGACTGGGCTTTTCCTAGAAGACCCCCCTTCTGTCTCTTGTCTGACCTCTTGCTTCGCACCATGTGCACAGTAGCCTCCACAGTGAGATAAGGAGCATGGGGTCTTTTCCAGAGTATAAACAGAGAAGCAGACTATAATCTGTTCTGACTTGCCCACTACAACCAATACTTGCAAGGGAAGTAGGAGCATGCCCAGTGTTGGCTTCAGAAAGAGACTGCACAGGAGCCTCAAGCTGCCTGTGCTTTGTGGCTCTCCCCCAGTCGGTCCTGGGCTCCTGCAGGTCTTCACATCCATTTCCTGTCAGCCTTTGTGAGGAATGGGTGGCAGGAGGTGGTGTGTGATCTCCACTGGACCTCTCAACTAGAATAGAACAGGGGGACTCTGCAGTCCCTATTTTAATGCACTCCTTATTGCCCCCTCCCTAGTACCTTCAAAGATGGAAGTGGATGGCTGTGTGGCCTTGGGGAAGGATGTGGGAGGTAAACAGACCTTTTTCTAGAGGTTCCTGGAGCCCCTGGGCAGGATGCTGAGATCCTGTTCCCTTGACCACCTCTACTCTACCGTCTCTGCCTCCTGTGTGCTATCAGAGCCATTTCCTTTCCTCATGCTGTGCACAGCTCTGTACCTGCAGGTATTGCCCTGCGGCCCCTCTGCTTGGATACCTACAGGATGCCTAGGACAAGCCTCCAGCAGATGGAAACTATGATCTCGCCTGACCCACGATTACCTGAAAAGTCCTTGGGCAGCTTGGTACCTGGTGCTAGAATCTGGGAGTTTGGGTCCTTTTAATGTCTTGATTCCATCTCTTGCTGACTTGGCTTCTTGCTGATGTGTTTCCAGAGCAGGAGGCTTTGCCAGATGAGGTGGAAGAGCAGGTTGGATGGCCAAGGAAGAAGTCACAGCAAGATCCCTGAGCTGTGAGGCTTGGGTGACTGCTCTGGATCAGGGTTGGTTTTGGGTGTGGAGGCCGCTGCCTCATTGCATTCCATACTTCTAGAATATCAGGAATCCGGAAGAGAGAAGAAAGAGAGGGTCCCAGATTCTGAGAAGCAATAAAAAAAGAAAAGAAAAGAAAAATCCCTAGGTGTTCCCCTATAACCTCCGAGCCAAGCAGCTTCCTGGACCCTGTTCCATCCCCATTGGTACAGAAAGGTGTGAGTGGTAGCTTGACTAATGGCTTAGCTGACTGGTTTGACTTCAGGGGCAGACACTCTGAGCCAGGGTGAACAGGATGGGCCTGAATTAGGCCAAAGGAGTAAGAAAAACCACCCTCATCTACACCACTCCATCCTCCATTACTAACCTCAGGACCACCCTGCTTTCTGGCTGGCCCTGCTTCCCAGAGTCCTGTGGGTGCATACAGGTCATAGACTCCCAGCCTGAACCACATTTTTGAGAGGGTTTTATGGGTAGGAAAAAGAGATATAAGGATTGGCTCTTCTGTCCCAAGTGCCAGCTTAGGGCTTTGCTTTGTCAAGAGGTCTGGTATTGCGCATTCCAGGCTGTTCTGGGAGGTGGGAAGACTTCTGCATGGGAGTGCTACTGGCCCTGGTCCTTTTCCTTGCCCATCTATCTGTCCCATGTCATCCCTTCCAAAACCCCACAACTTCCAGATCCCCCTGTAGTGAAAAGCAGAGGGCACATATGCATTGGAAGGAGAAAATTAGAGGTGCTTACGGTAGCACCTAGGGAGGTTAACTGAACTTTTTACATACTTTTCTCCAGGAGCTTGTTGCTGTGTAGCCCAGGCTAGACTCAAACTCACAACTTGTCTCCATCATCCTGAATTAGGTAGACTTACAGGCATGACACCGTGTCCTGCTGCATTTCTTCTTGTGTGTGTGTGTGATAATAAAGACATGCTATACTCCTTACCAACAGTTCAGAAAATGTCCCTTGCAGATTCTGTGAGTGTTCCCTTCATCACCTTCACTCTCTGGAGAGCTGAGCTTTCAGAGAATTAGCAGCTGAGGCGGGCGCAGGTAGGCAAGCATGTAGGGCTGTGTTCTAAGAGTGCCCCAAAAGCCCGCAGTCTTGACGCTTGTCAAGGGAGGGGAAGAATTCTTCCTTCTCTGAAGCTGCTTATCCAGTCCGAGAGAGGCAAGACTTTGGACCTCAGCTGAGGGAGCTGGATCCACAGGGGTGGCTGTCCTAGCCTTGTCCAAGAGTAACACTCCCAGGGCTCATGAGGCGCCTCACAGGGGCTGCCTGGGAAGGGAGAAGATACTCACCTTCCCCAGTATTTGAAAGGCAACAGTAGAAAGGTCAGAACTGCTGTGGAGGGGGGAGTGCCTCTTCCCCCACCTCACAGGAATCTTCAGAGAGTCTGGGTCCTTTAGGAGATGCTATAAAGAATCCTAGGCCCAGAAGCTCAGACAAGAACACTAACAGTCAAGGTCTTTACCTTTTATGACCCCCCCCCCCCAGTGTTTTAGCCTCTCTCTGCTCCCTGGCCCCAGCCTCCTCTGATGGCTTCATGCATCTTGGGTTTTGATGTGGTTTGGTTTTTGGAGACAGGGTTTCTTTGTATAACATCCCTGGCTGTCCTGGAACTCACTCTGTAGACCAGGCAAGCCTTGAAGAGAGGCACTCTGCCTCCCAAGTGCTGGGATCTCTAGGCTTTATTTTGTTTTTGTTTTTTTTTTTTTTTTTGAGATAAAATCTCTCTTTGTACCTCCAGCTATCTTCAGACTCCTGATCCTCCAGCCTCAGCCTCTAAAAGCTAGGATTACAGCATACCTTCAGGGTTGTTTGTTTTTAATGTTGCAGGAAGTCACAAAACATGAAGCTACACTGTAACCATTTTGGAGTGTGTAAAGTGTGTTCTCAGTTCCATTTTCTCTAACTTACACTCTGTATCCATATAATGCTAATTCCCTTCTCCAGGCCCTCAGCCCTT